CCCCCCCCAGTGCCACTCAATCCCCACTGCTCCACCTCCCCCCACAGCGTCACTCAATCCCCACCCCTCCCCCTCCCCCGCAATGTCACTCAACCCTCACCTCCCCACCCTGTCCTCATGTCTCTCAACCCCACTGACACACCTTCACCATGTACCCACCCCAACATCCTTCAGCCTCCACTGATTTCATCCTCTCCATTACCCACGCTCAGTCGCAGCAGTGTGTACCACCTAAAAGATGCTTTGCAGAAATTCACCAAAGCTTCTTCAACAGCATGTTCCAACCATGTAACCTCTGTAAAAGACCAGGGGAGCAAAGAACACCCTCCTCAAGCTCCCCTCCAAGCCACTCACCATCCTGACTTAGGACGGGCAGTAAATGCTGACCTTGGTAACAAGCCCTACATCCCAGAATAACCTGTCTGGTGACAAAGTTCAGTTCCAGTATCATTCCACAACACAAGGTTTAGGATGGGGTCACAAAGGGCAGAGAGCAAATATAGCATCAATATCACAGGTAGCCAACAGCTGGCTCTACCCCAGCACCACGTCTCTCTCTTTCGACTCCTTCATTCTTTCATGGAATGCGGGCACTTTTGACAAACCCAGTATTGGATTCCCATCCCAGGCATGAGGAGAATTTTTTTTTGTTGCAGAAGGTCATGAGTCTTTGGAACCATTTCCCTGGAAATGGGGTGGAAGCAGGGTCTCTGACTATGTAGGAGGTGGAGACAGATAAGATTCTTAATGAGCAAGGCGGCGGGGGGGGTGAAAGTTATTTGGAGTAGGCAGGAATATAGGGTAATCAGATCAGCCATGATCTTATTGAATGGTAGAGTAGGTTAGAGGGGCTGAGTGGCCTCTTCCTGCTCCAATCTGCCTTTGTCTCTGTCTGTTTCCTTCACTTACACAGCACCACTGTTGGATTTTATTATTCCAACAAAACTTCTCACTGCTTTCCCACATTCTACTTACCATTAACCTGAGGTTGTCCAAAACATTGCTAGACACGTCCTGAATGTGCGCTTGCCCATTCCCCCACCAACCACTGTGCTCACTGACCCCCACCAACTCCAGGTCAAAGAACACCTTGCTTTTAAACTTTCCATCGTTTACAAATGCAGCCCTTGCTCCTCCCTGTGTGTAATAACCCCAGCCCCACTGCCCTCGGAAACATTGGCTATATCTCTGATGTAATAATTCCATCGGCTGTCCAGTCTGGATTTCCCTAAACTCCCACTTCAATACTTTAATCTTTTCTTTTAAAGTGCTCCATAAATCCCACATCATTGACCAAACCTTTGGGCTTCTGAGCTAACACAAACAAGTAGGAAGCAGGAGTAGGCCATTCAGCCCCTCAAGCTGCTCTGGCATTCAAAAAGATGATAGCTGATCTGTTTTGTGCTTGAAATTCCACATTCCCACCTACTGCCAGATATCTTTGAGTCTTCTGCCTTACAAGAACCTATCCAACTCTGCCTGAAACATATTTAAAGACCCTAGCTCCACCGGCTTCTGAGGTAGAAAGGCCCAAAGTTGCACAAGCCTCTGACAGAAAAATCCATACATTTCTCTCCTGAAAGGGCAGGGCCCCAGCAATACCTCCTTGTGTGACTGAGAGGCAAATGTTTGCTTTCTCTTCTGAAGCACCTTGGGACACTTGTGAAATGCATAAACGGTGTGGTATAAATATAAATAGTTGTTATGTGATGAGCTCACCTCCCTGTGCTGGGGCTGATCACTGATCACCGTGCTGGGACTGATCACCGTGCTGGGACTGATCACCCTGCTGGGATTGATCACTGATCACCGTGCTGGGACTGATCACCATGCTGGGACTGATCACTGATCACTGTGCTGGGACTGATCACTGATCACCGTGCTGGGACTGATCACCCTGCTGGGATTGGTCACTGATCACCGTGCTGGGACTGATCACCATGCTAGGACTGATCACTGATCACCGTGCTGGGACTGATCACTGATCACTGTGCTGGGACTGATCACCGTGCTGGAACTGATCACTGTGCTGGGACCGATCACCGATCACCGTGCTGGGACTGATCACCCTGCTGGGACTGATCACCCTGCTGGGATTGATCACTGATCACTGTGCTGGGACTGATCACCCTGCTGGGACTGATCACCGTGCTGGGACCGATCTCCGGGCTGGGACCGATCTCCGTGCTGGGACCTATCTCCGTGCTGGGACCTATCTCCGTGCT